TTGTTCGCACTAACGTTAATTGATTGCTTCAGTTGATTATTCTGTAAATTGATGATCGATTCGAATCGATTCAAATCGAAACAATATCGACATAGATGTTGTTTTATATTTGCACGAATGAATTCAAGTTTTCTTCCCCTTTAATATTATATATACACACAGTTATTCACAGTTAGAATATTAGCGAGTATGAGTTTACCTTTATTCTCGAAGGTAAAACGAGTGAAATAGTATATATAAATGATTATTTTTGGCAAAGTAGTTCCTTATTATTGATTATTATTAATGATTGTTATAAATTAACGACAGAGGCTGTCAAAGGAGTTCCGTGAACTGTCCATTAGTCCGCCTGCCGGTATTGAAGTGCTAGAGGCGGATTCCTTCAAATGGTTTCATTAACTTTCTTCAGTTATTTTTATATGTGCGCACTGGTTCATGTGTTAATTATTGCATTAATGCTTTTTATTAATTTAAAATGCAAACTTTTAAAGCTGGAAGCTGTCACTTGAAGGTGTAGAGGGTACTTTATACGCGGGCGAACGTTTCACCTTAGAGGTTGCTTTTTGAGTTTCAACTTTTTATAGTGGATGTTCTAAAGAAGCGATTTTCTAAATTAATACTTCATTATTATATAGTTTCGATTCTCTCCTAATTATCCTATGGAATCGCCAGAGGTAAAAGAATTTTAAAAGAATTTTGAATGTTTGGAAACTATTAACTAACAAAAATTATGATTAAATCTATTAGGTCGTTTTCATAAATAATATTCCGATACATCCTCATGTAATATGAATATCTCAAATATTATTAATTGTCACAGTGATTATTATTATTATTATTATTACGAAATACATCAAGGCTAACTGATCTTTTTCCATTCTTTATAGATCTATAGGTAAGGCTTCATTCTTTTTAATATTAATTCATGATAATGTTTCTCATCACCTTGCGTTTTACCCTAGGACAGCAATGGTCATATTTGTTTGAATGTATTATATGATCAATGGAGTCCTGTGTTAAGTGTTAGGTCTGTTTGTTTATCTCTACAATCAATGTTGTCGAGCTGCACTAAGAAGGTATATACAAATTTTTGTGGTTGAAAGGAAGCCATCCTCTTTTTAATATATAATCGTTTATATTTATTGGCTGTTAAGGAACCACCACCAGATGATAGTCGATACACAAAACACGCGAGATTGTCGCCTAAACATACTCAATGGGCTTTTCATGGTACCAAAATGCTCTAATTTGTTTTTTAATTTATTCTCAAATAACCAATTATTTCTGTTTTACAGATGACACAGTCTGATGATACCACCTTATTAATAATAAATATTTGGATGGGTAAAACTCAGCGCCTGAAAAACGCTTGATTGTAAGCATTCATTATTGATTTTTATTATCATTAGACTTTCTTCGATTTTCATGTAATTGTTTTTTTAGATCTGTTTTTTTTGATTGATTGATTGTTTGTCACTCAGAGATTCATCAATTGTTGTTGTGGGGGGTAAATCGTAGTAATAGTTTTTAAGTATATACACCATTACACCACCATCATCATCATCATCATCATCAAATCGCATTACGCAAGATTGGGATACTTATTTATTCAATTTAAATTATTGAGTTAAATAATGTTAATACATAGATTTATTGTGTACAAATGTTTATATTAATGAAAAATTAAATACATTCCGATAATAGATGATAGTTAAATTGAAGAAATCGATCACTCTCTATCCATATGTCCATGTTTCAACGTTTTCACAAATTCCCCATAATCAAAATTCTCCGAATCATCCATACCCTGAAAAAATAAATCCAACTAATTTTTTACAGGGGGTGTAGAAAAATGAGTGTGATTATTGTTTCGCTTGATAAATCCAACGGTAACAATAATTCAAATAAAATACATACTTCTTCATCTGTGAGTTGTTCTCCCTGAGTAGCCAATATTTGTCGTAATTTCGTTGCATTGATTATCCCAGAATTCAACTCGTCATCATCATTTAGATTAGAAAATGCTTTAAGCAGCTCCCCTTCAGAATCGATGGCAGCCAATTTATTTGCCATCATTGTCAAAAATGTGGCAAAGTTGATGGAATGTCCAGATGTAGAATCTGCCAGCATGGCGTCTATGTAAGCATCTGTGGGAGCTTGGCCTATTTTTTAATTTATCAATTTATTATACTTTAAAATTAAAAAGATCATATTTTCTGTAACGTCATCTCAGTGATGGATGCCCAACTTGAGTACACCTCGAATCATATACATTCATTAGGAAATACATCTACCTAATGAAGACAGCATATCCCTCAAATCTTCTCGATCTATATATCCATCACCATCTACATCCAATAACGCAAATGCTTCTTTGAATTCTATAATTTGTTTTTGGTCAAATTTCGAGAATACATTCGAAGTTTGACGACGGAGACGATTGTGGTGGTAGTGGTTATCGGATCGTACATACGAAGCACTGGGCGTGATGTTAGCAGGTGAATTCGAAGATTCAAGAGAGGAAGAAAAGTGCTGTTGATTGCGAATTGACGACTATATGAGACAAATTCATTTTAAAAAACATTAAAGCTAAACGGCATAAACTCGAGCCTCTCAAACCATGAAAGTTAAAAGACAAACCATGTTTAAGTTTAGCAAAATAAGAATCACTTGTTACTTTCCCCTCCCTTCCCCCCTTCGCGTTATTGTTGTTACACGCACTGATCACCAAACTTGGCATGAGTGATATGACTCGTAGTGATGTCAATTCAATCAACTTGAGTCATTCATTATTACATTATTATCGTATTGGATCATGTGCATCAGTGCAAAACTCAGCATAAAATGGATCTTCCCCGTGCCAAAATTTCGCTTCTCAAACTTTGCAAAAATGTCTTTTACGCGAATCTCAACCCTCTGCCGTTCAGCAGTCAAAAAAACGATCGCTGCGAATCGTGTTGAATTCCCCTTTGGATACAATTCATATTCAACAAAGCTTCCCTACTCATTTTCACCTTTATGTCACAAACGAAACTCAAGTACGTCGTCGTCAGTTCAAGATAAACTAGTAATTTTCGATACGACCCTTCGGGATGGAGAACAGGTATGTATTAATAATATAACTTTTTCAAAGGTTATCCATACACGTGAAACATTATTCTTAGAACAATTCGTTTTGTTGCAATAATTACATTCTTTGAAGCTTTACACGCGATCAATTTACGAAGAAAAAAAGATTTATAAAAAATGTTTATTATTTAATTAGTCACCTGGTGTCACACTTACAGTCGATGAAAAGGTCGAAATTGCTCGGCATCTATCAAACTTGGGTGTTGATGTAATTGAAGCTGGTTTTCCCATAGCATCTCAAGGAGATTTTGAAGCAGTTACACGAATCGCTAAAGAGATTGGTCCATTGATGACTGGTCGAGAAAAAATTGGCAAACCTTTGGTAAAACAAAGACTATTATTAATTGGTGTTATGCCTAATTCTTATTGTTGTTTAAGCCAAATTGATCAATTCCAGAGAATTGCAGGCCTCGCACGTGCAACAGAAAAAGACATAAAACGTTGTTACGATGCTGTTTCACATGCACCATTTCATCGTATTCACACGTTTCTGGCAACATCCGACATCCATCTTAAATATAAACTTCAAATAAGTCGCGAAGAATGTATCAAACGAGCGACAAAAGCAGTCGAACTAGCTAAAAGTCTATGTGAAGATGTTGAATTTAGTCCAGAAGATTCGGGACGAAGTGATCAAGACTTTTTATGCTCGATTCTAGGAGAAGTTATCAAAGCTGGTGCGACTACCTTGAATATTCCGGATACCGTTGGATATAACACTCCAGAAGAGTATGGCGCGTTAATAAAATACTTGGTTGAAAATACACCTGGAGGAGATAAGGTATTTGATCTAAAATAATTCATTTTCTGTCAATAATATACTTACTGTATTAATTGTAGGTTATATGGTCAACTCATTGTCATAATGATTTGGGTCTTGCGACTGCTAATACTTTATCCGGAATTACTAATGGTGCTAGACAAGTTGAAGTGACAATTAATGGTATAGGAGAACGAGCTGGTAAGAATTATTTTAGTTTAGGACAAAAATATATAATTAAAAAAAACTAAATCTCTATAATTTCTTTAAATAATATATTCAAGGTAATACTTCACTTGAGGAAGTTGTCATGACGATTCAAACTCATCCGAAATCCTATCCAGTTTATCACACGATCAATACTCCTCTTATTTATCGAACTTCAAGCCTGGTTTCTTCTCTATCAGGGATGGTAGTACAACCCAACAAAGCTATCGTAGGGACAAACGCGTTCCTTCACGAATCCGGAATCCATCAAGATGGTGTACTGAAACACAAGCAAACCTATGAGATTATACGCCCCGAAGATGTTGGCGTTTTCAACGTAAATCTTGTACTTGGGAAACTTTCAGGTCGTAACGCTTTTCGATCTCGTATCACCGATCTTGGCTATGGAAACTTGAGCGATGCAGAAACCCAGAAAGCATTCGAGAGCTTCAAGACATTGGCAGACACCAAGAAACGAATCACAGATCACGATCTCTTGGCTCTTATTTCGGATCAAGTATCCAAAGGATCAACACCAGAATCTCAACGCTTCCAATTGCAATCACTTCAAGTAGTCTCTGGAGTTCACGATATGTCAACAGCAACCATAAAACTATTTGATTCGTTGAAGAATAATGAATTAATAGACGCTGCAATAGGAAAATCTGGACCAATTATGGCAGTTTTTGGTGCAATCCAACGTTTGGTGCAACGAAAAATTCGCTTGTTGCAATATGAAGTACGTGCAGTCTCAGAGGGAATGGATGCTTTGGGTAAAGTTTCTTTAAAAGTCACCGAGGATACAGACTCATCAAGCACAGATTCAGAATTTCTCACAGGGCATATTATTGACGGAGAAGTAAAACCTAAAACCGACTCGAAAGGTCAACCGAAATTGACAAAAAGTACATATAGTGGACACGGGACTGATGTGGATATAATTTTGGCTAGTGCAAAGGCTTATGTTAATGCAATTAATAGATTGTATGAGGAAGAAATCAAAGAAGTGTCGGGTTCGCGAAGTCTTCCCGCAGAAAGATTCGTTAATATTTAATTAAAAGAGAAAAGTCCTAAAATTTTACTTTGTTCAATTTATTGTTTTTTATGTATAATATTTACGATATATTTATATCTAAAAAAATATATTATTTTTCTTTCTATTTATTTCTAAATTTTGTATTTGTGTTTTAAAGCTTTCAATACATTAATAATTAGCTTGTACCGTAACAACTATGGGTTATTTACTAATTAGGATTTAGGAATGGATTATTTACTAATTAGGATTCATCAAGGATTTTAGGAATTATATATAATTCAAGCCCTAAGAATTAAGGTGATCGCTTATGCCGCCGAAATTTGTTGAGAATCTTTGTAGGCGGACGGCCAGTTCGTTTATTGTTCATAATATCAACATTGCCGTAGTCAGTCTGTTCGATGGCACTGCTGGATATTGCTTTGATCAAATTCCCTCTTCTTGGATCAAATTTCTGAGTTTGATAATGTGCCGCGATCTCAAGATTCAATAATTTTCTGTCGAAATTACACCATACTTTCACATCATGTTTTCCTAAGAGTGCTGCGGCGAGTGCTTTCTCGTACATTGCATCCACTTCTTTTTCTTTCGCATCAAATTCATCGTCTTCTTTTATGCATTGCTTCATTACACTTTCTTCCTTGATTTCTGTCGGAGTTAATTCGTTTGTATATTGTGTATCCTCTGATGAAAGATGTACGTCGACGTGATTGTAATTTTCTTGGACTTCAGTATGAGAATTTTGCATTGACAATTGGTCGCCAGATAACTCTAAGGTAATTTCTGCTCCAGTGCTTGAGCTCATTAAAGTGATTGTTGACTCAACATTCTCTTCTAGTTTCACTTCTGAATCTTCATTCTCATCCATGTATCCATGCCATTCTAAGGCTGCTCTTACAAGCTCAACTGTTACCTGAAAATAATACAAAATTTATGAATTTTCACTAAAAAGACGCGTCATAATTCAAAATAAATATAAAAATAAATTACCATGTTGTCTGGCTGACTGCTATTCGGATATGCCTGCATCATTGTTACTATGTTGTTTATGACAACGTTTAACCAGTCATGTAAGAGATCATAAAGAGAGACAAAAGTAGTGCGTAAAATCGCTGTGTTCGTGTCTTTAGTGTAGAACCTTGAATAAAAGGTAAAAACACAAGCGATAGTCTTAGAAACAGAAATTTAAATGCGGTTATTATACAAGCAAAAGCAGAGTTTCGACGCACTGATAAGCCAAGCGTAAAGCATTTTTCAAATTAAACAAATCGAGTTTCGCCAAAACTTGATCAGGAATCGGTCGGTGATTCTCAATATCCGCGGTCATCAACATCTCACGCTGTTCCCTCTCGCACAAAAAGCTACTATGCTTGTCTTCCATCTGCACCCATTGATCACTCATCTCCCTAGCCGATGGAATTTCACAAAGATGCAATGGTTTTAGCTCTCCAGTCATTGTGCGGTATTTCATCTCGTGTTCCAGCAAATCAAGATACATCATCACACTTATTACACTTGTACCAATTCTCCGGGCGATTTCCTCCGGATTATGTTTGCCACAACGCAAAAGCGCAATGAAAAAATTCTCGGTGGTTTCCTGATCCCATTTTAGAGAATGCAGCAAGCCTTGCCTTGTGTACTGACCATAACCAAACATTAAGGGACTCTCTTGTTCATTACGAAACGAATGTTCGGTTTCTGCGACGAGCAAGGCATATGATAGTCTATCGATATCTTGTTCGTTTACTTGCTCGGTTACTCTGAGAATTAACTCAGATCTCGGAACGTATCTTTTTACTTGATTCCATGTCAGAATCGTGACATCGTTGGAGGTTCCTTTGAACTGCCTTGGAGCTAGTGATTTTTTTGGTCGCAGCGACATTTTTGAAAGATGTGACGCAAATAACAATGATATCGATATCTATTGGATATGTAAAAATCCGGATCACGGGATTATAGAAAGATAAAGGATTTGTTTAGTCAAACGAATACATCCTACTCAGAATAGCCATTAATTTTATACGCAATGGTGAGTCTTTCTTTAATCTAATTTATTGCAATCTTTAGCTTAAGAGAATCATCCATCTTCAATTGGGGCTAATTCAACATAATAATATTTATGATAACATCCACGTATGATAATTTTATCTACGATACTAAATAACAGCCTACTGTAAAAGCTTATGAACTTCGAACAAAAAGCAAAAACGATTTGACTAAACAACTTGGTGAACTTAAAGAAGAGCTTGCTACTCTTAAAGTGCAGAAGATCGCGGGTGGAGTAACATCAAAACTAACAAAAATGTGAGTTCAACTCATTTTTTTAATGATGTTTCGAACTAGTAATCAAGTGATTATTTTTTTAATCTATTTTAATCATATGTCGCTTGAAAAAAAGCCGTGAAGTACGCAAATCAATTGCACGAGTAAACACTGTTATCTCTCAGAATCAGCGCGCACATTTACGAGCCTTCTATAAGAACAAGAAATTACTGCCGCTTGACCTTCGACCAAAAAGAACCCGCGCTATTCGTCGTCGTTTGACAAAGAAAGAGGCGTCTGCCAAAACTGAACGGTATAATTTTTTCTACCTCACCTTTGCTTTTTCGTATTTATTCATTATAATCATTAATTTTTATTATTCATCTCAAAATCCCACTGTTGTTCTTTGGGGATAATCAAATAATTGATCAGAGCCAAAAAACGAGATGCACACTTTCCACTTCGAAAATATGCTATCAAAGCATAATCACGCGATGTGTATTTATGTGAATGGCGTCATTATAAATTAAATAATAATAATGAGAAATATTATATAGAATCATAATGAATTTTTATTCTGCTGGATTTTTACCAGCCAATTTAAAGATTGTACTACGATGAGATGCAACTGATGTAATTCGTAACATATTATTTCCCTAGTACTAGGAATCGAGAAATAGTTTTTACGAATTCGCCTCTTCTAAATCTCGTAATTTCCGTGCGTGTTTTTTTACAACATTCAAGACACTTTTTACAATGAGAAACAAATTATTAGCCGTTTTTATGATGATAACATTAAAAGAATAATAAACTTACTCGTCTATCTTCATAGCTTCAGTGGCGAAATCAAGAGTCTTGCCATCACCTAAAAAATCAAAATCAAAACAATTAAGACCCGATAAAACTCGTGGAACAAAAACAACAAAAAAAATTAACTTACGAAACGTAACACTTATGCTTGGCTGTGCATTAATATCGGTAAAAACTGTTGTATTTATTTTTATGTGCGGATTCAAGAGACGAGCTTCATCCATCATTACACGAGACAAAAATATTCTGTATGTTTGAAGAAAAAGTTGTATGGATTTTTTTTACGAGCCGAATTACCATACAGGTAAGATTATTATGAAACATTGAAAATACCGAGGAGTTCGTGCATTTTTAGCAAACGGCGAAAATTTGACGTTAACTTGATTTATATATTTGAGCATTATCGTTATCCCGAGAATCGAGTCACTTTCAAGATACCGATACATGTAATTATTGCTAACAAGTATGCAGGCTCGTTACTCCGGGAATTACATTGAAAGAATTGCTCTTTATAACCAATCAAATAAACGGGAAATAGTAAATACACTCTTTATACCAGTTAGGCAATCAATCATGTTAAAAAAAGTGGTGTTGCTTGCCTATTAAACTATTTTTTGTATATATGTTACCCAAAGAAATTTTATTCTGGCAGCAAGCCTCAAATACATGTAATACTCGGAGGTTGTGTTTGCTAACAACACGAAATATGATTTTTTTGGCAACGTCACATTTATTAAAATGCTCATTAATAAGAACATAATCATCATCACAAAAGGCACGTATTATTTGATTTCGAACATTTATCTGACTTCGAAAAAAAGATTCGATTAAGCTGTTGTTAATTAATTATCATTGGGGGAGAAAATAGATATTGATAGAACAGTGACTGACATCCCATACCATCACCCGATATTCCATTGTATTACGACATATGCGTGTAACAACAAAAAAAATAAGTAGACGAAAGACAATAATTCTTTTGCTCATAGTAATAAAAAATTTATTGTGTACTTGAACGACAACGAAAACGACGTCGCTTGGCAACACATTATTACTCCTTTCCCTTGTCTCCTGAGAGTGTACCAAATAAATCACCAACATGGAAATAGAACCAAGTTACATTTATGACGCAAAGAATGGTGGTCGAGTGCCCGTCTTCAAACCAAGCATGGAACAATTCGGCGACTTCTACAAGTTCGTAACGGCCATTAGTAAGTATGGCAAGCAAGCTGGCATAGTTAAAATTATTCCACCAAAGGAATGGTAAGTTATCGTTTCATATCTTGACTTCTCGTGAGCTCCTTCCTTATCTAACCTTGCGAATATACTCTCCATTTTTTAATACGTTTATCGATATAAATATAGGTCAGATTCGCTTCCTGATCTTGCTGACAAGCTTAAATCGAAAAAGATACGGCACCCAATTGAACAAGTCTTCAACGGCAGCAAAGGAATCTATCGACAGGATAACATTGAAAAGAACCGGTGCTATTCACTGAAACAATGGCGTGCATTGTGCGAGTCACCGAACCATCGACCACCCACTCGCAATTACACTCAGGCAAAGCAACTTCCAAACACTCGCAATTCCACTCGGGCAAAGCAACCTCCAACTCCACCACCCGGTGTCAGTAAGAAACGTAAATCGGAAGCGCAATTACAGTCCGAAAAAGCTAAAGCGGAAAAAGTTCAAAAACAAGAGTCTGCTGAATTCGGTTCAAGGAATTTGGACGACTACGAAGTTGACATTGATAAACTGACGAATAGCAACCACAACAACAACGACGAGGTGGAAGGAGGGTTTGATTATCGCATATATAATCAAGCTCAATATACCAATGAATACTGCAAAGAAATAGAGAGAGATTATTGGCGCACTTTACCTTTCAACAATTCTCTTTATGGCGCCGATATGATTGGTAAGGAACACGAGTAAAAATATAATAATGTCATAAAACAATCATTCATTTTTTCTCATTTCTATTTATTTTTTGTGTACATAATTTCGCAATACAATTTATTTTGTCTTTCTTTTGACCATTGTCTCCGAATAAATAAACAGGAAGCCTTTTCGATACGGAAATCACCAAAACCTGGAATATCGACCGCTTAGATAATCTCCTAAACAGGATAAATGTCAATATCCCCGGTGTCAACAGAGCTTACCTCTACTTTGGCATGTGGAAAGCCACTTTTGCATGGCACGTTGAGGTATGCAAAGCATTTAAGTAATGTTCATTCATTATTGATATTAATGATAATGAAAAATTACTGTTTTTATAACTAAACCTGCATTCCCCAGGACATGGACCTTTACTCGATAAATTACATCCATTTTGGTGCACCCAAACAATGGTACGCTATTCCTCCCCCATATAGCAGAAAATTCGAAACTGTCATGCGAGGTTAGTCTGTGTACATTGTGCAACTATACATTTACTTTATCGACATTTTCCTTTTTGGGAATGGTGCTGCTGAATAATATACGTATATGTCAAACTGAAGGTTACTTTTCGCATGAGTACCAAAATTGCCGCGAATATCTTCGGCACAAACAATTTATTGTCAAGCCGAGCATCTTGGCCGAGAGTAATATTCCGGTCAACTATCTGGTTCAACATGAAGGAGAATTTGTCATCACTTTTCCGTATGGATACCACGCTGGCTATAATTTGGATTACAATTGCGCAGAATCGGTTAATTTTGCTCTCGATGACTGGATTCCCATTGGGAAAAAAGCAGGGGCATGTAGATGTCAAAATGATAGTGTCAAAATTGATGTTGCTTCGTTCTTTGATGAGCGAATTCCAGATGCAATAGTCCCGGCTTCAAAAACTCGATTGATTTTGTTGCCGACTCCTCCGCGTGAAAAGAAAATGTTGAGATCGAGGAAGGAAACTGTCGTTGATGGTGATGTTGATCAAGAAGAGACGGATACAGGTTATGAACTTGAACAACAAAGTCCAGGTACACCTATTACACCCACACATCATTATCTTGTTTATTCGAAAGATGATGATTCATCATCATCTATCGATCTTGAAGATGAAGGATATATGGAGGAGGATAAGAAATATAAAGATATTGTTGCCGATGACGGTGATGAGGATGAAATGGTTGTCGTTCATAAACCAAAATTGCGAATAATACATAAAAATCAAAAAATTCAGGTATTTTGTTGTGCATTAAAAAGCCAAAACACTTTTATATTCCAATTTTAATTGGTTCACGTTATTGTGTATGCAGTGCATGTTATGTCCTGTGGAAGGAGGTCAACTATTTCGCACCGAAGAAGACGGATATGCTCATCTGTAAGTTTCTATTATTGTGATTTTAGTCTCTCTTTAATTCTCCACTCATAGCTTTTTTTTTAGTTTATGTGCTTCATTTGTTCCCGAAACCGACATTGCACAAATTATGGGAACTGAACGCGTAATTGGAATTAATCGAATACCCAAAGCAAGATGGAATTTGGCAAGTTTTTGTTTTGTTTGGATTGAAAAACTTCAATGGAAAACAATTGAAGTTTTAATAAATTTTTTTTAGAAATGTGAAATATGCAAGACTAAGACAGGTGCTTGCATACAATGTATCCATGGAAAGTGTGTCAGGCCATTCCATCCATCTTGTGCTGAACAAGCAGAGTATCATCTTCAGCAACGCCTCACAGCTTGTGGCGAACTACTATACGAAGGATTCTGCAAACTCCATGACCCGGTAATTTTTCCGTGTTACATTTCGGAAAAACATTTCGAAAATCCTATATAAAAGTTAATGATCGTATCTTTTTTTTGACAGCGAATTTTATTGGAAAAGAAGAAAAAAATGGCAGAGCTTTCTTCAATGGTCGCAATCGACCGAGATGTCTGGGCTAAAGCATATGGATCCTTTTATAAAGGTTTTTTTTCATGTTTTATTTTATTCGAGTTTCTATTGTTACCTATATTTCCTCACCTAATAATAGGTTCAACTCGCAGGAAAGATTATTGAAAAAGACGAAGAAACACAAAAATGTAAAATATTGTTTATGGATGGGTAAGTAAAGAAAGTAACCAATTTCTTAGAATATGAAAGCTTCAAACGATACAAAATATTTTTTCTCTATTATTCTCTTCAAAGTTACGAGAGAACTCTCCCATGGGGATCGATACATTTCGACGATCCAACACTTAACAGTCGTCTAAAACGATGACGAGATAAACATCATGATTAAAAGTCCTGACAGAAAACGGCACTTTTTAGGATGTGTAAAAAAAAATAACTTTTGTTTGTGACAATCATTATTTTTAGTTAGAACACCCTTTTTATCTTCTTCCTTTGTAGATATTTCTTTTTCTTCTTTGCTTGCTAACTAGCTTGGCTTTTTTTCTTTGCTTAACAAAAAATATGCATCACTTTGTGTGATTACCAATCATTATTATTTACATGTACATGTACATGTGTATACATTGTGAAAGATTTTCATGCGAGTCACTCGGTTTGTTTGCATGTGATTTATCGGTATGCAAAACAACTACTATTTTTTGCCAATTTTGGTTAGCTGAAAACAGGGGTGATTCTTATTCGAAATTTCGGTTATCATTAATTTATCTGGCAGAACGATATCCGATCATGATAAACGTTTCATAATAAACTCAAAAAGGCGTACCAGTACGAAATGAGGCAAAACCAATTATATAAAAAGGTAAAATAATTCGTAGAGCTTACCTAAATAGAGTTCTGAAGTTTCTTGTACGATGGTGTCAATCAGTGGTCGTAGAAGTCACATTAATAACAGAGTAAAACTAGAATACATTGTTTATGATATTATTATCGGAAAACTATAAGAGGAGTTTATTTCCCTTGAACGAATTATATAAATATATTAAATTCCTTGATTTATTTCTTAATAAATCTCAGAAACTGAACACAATCCTTTACACGATCCTTTCTTTTATATTTCATACACGACAAACACCTATTGGTTGGATTCTACCCTTTCTCCTCGTGATAAAGATGCGCAGTAAATTTTTCATAGAATTTCTAATTACATTTTTATTTTCATGGTTGATCAGATCGTCCTCCGCCACGGCGATTTATCAACGTCGAGCAACCTCTTCAGCTGGTCTGAAGATGAATAATTTATTATCTCCAATATCAACTAAAGCACCTTCTGGCGTTTTTTCTGTGGTATCGCATACCGTAAAACCTCAACGGTTAAATGATACGAATAAAGAATTGCCCATTCCAACTAATAAATTTTACGAAAATTTCTTGCTCGAAGATGGTAGACAGCCTACTTGGCCTCTACCGTATGGTGTTCGTTGGGAAAATGGACAAACTGCGGGAGTTTTAGGATTGAGTATCTCGCATGCTGATGACAGTTCAAAGGTAGAAAACAGATAATAAATAAACCAACCAACCCGCTAAACCGAAAATAAACCCAATTTGTCTATTGCTGCCTTATTAACTTATTTTAGGTTTATGGACCGAATCCAAATGCCAATCCTGTTACTTATTTCTATAATCCATATACACCGAGTCTCTCAATTTCTGCCGCTGAATTTGGCCAAACTCATTCACTAACTGTATCAGATTTAGATGAATTTTCGGTCAAACTGCAATTATCTCCCACTAATGCTACCGCTTCTTATATTTCCATCCCGATTGTACGTGGAATGGGTTTTATCACCGCACAATATAAACAATTGACACCCGTTTTTAATTCTGCGGTTAAATTCCGAAAAATTGAATTGGCCAATGATGCTAAAAAAGGCTGGGTGAAATACCGAATTCAACTGGAAGATGATAATAACTGGTTACTTTATGCGAAATCTCACGACAAATCGCCGGCGCTAAAGTTGAATGTGAAGAATGCGACTATTGTCGAAGCGGTATCTGGCGTATTTACAGGTTTAATTCAAATTGCTAAAGTGCCTCGAGACAATACAGCTGCTGAGAAACTTTACGATCAAAATGCGGGAACTTTTGCGACCAATGGCAAATTAAGTGTCACTAACGACGGGTAATTTTTTTTAATAACTATTATCATTATCTTTTTAGTTTTTTAATTTTTTTTTAATTTTTTCAAGCAGAACCGGAATTTACTCTATCAAATGGAAAACAACCAAAGAAAAATCAAACCCACTATTGCTCTTTGCTCTTCCCCATCACAGTGACTCATTTACCGACGCTACAAAGAAAGTAAACATTCAATTGCAATCTCCGACCACCGGGTTAATGACCGCTTATGTCGGAGACAATTGGATACTCGAGGAAAAGCACCTCAATAAAATAAGCTTTTTGCCGGCAGGATGGAAATCCCAACTTACGAAAGAGCAAAAAGATGTGATAGCAAAACAAGCGAAAATTGACGTGGCTAGTGATTTCAAAGCTCAAACTTTGGACAAAAATTCGGTTTATTTTTCCGGCAAAGGAATCGCGAAACTTGCTTTGGTGTGTTTGGTTGCTCACGATGTGCTAAAAGATAAATCGCTTGGAACGGAATGTTTGAATAAACTCAAGGTTTGTGAATTATTTTTTTTTGTTTCGATGCGAACGAACTATTTTTTAGAATTCTCATATCGAAAATATTTTTGTTTATGCTAGACGGTAATGGAATCTTACACCAAAAATAGATTGACATTTCCATTACAATATGACTCAACATGGAAGGGGATTGTTAGCTCAGAAGGATTCAAAAATGGTTCTATGGCAGATTTTGGAAATACTTGGTACAAGTAGGTTATCTTTTTTTTTTATTAATTATTTCAATAACCAGTTAAACTATTATAACTCTAAATTCAAAATTTTATTTTCTTTAAAGCGACCATCATTTTCATTACGGGTATTATATTCATGCTGCCGCCATAATTCGTCACCTTGATGAAGACTGGGGAAAGAAAAACGAGGAGTGGGTTGATTCTCTATTACGTGACGTTGTTAATCCTTCATCCAAAGATAAATTCTTTCCCACTTTCCGCACATTCGATTGGTTCGTCGGACATTCTTGGTCGAAAGGAATATTCGCCTCAGTTGATGGTAAAGATGAAGAATCCACGAGCGAAGATACCAATCTCTATTACGCAATGAAATTGTGGGGTACAGTTTCTCATCGAAAAAACCTCGAGAAATTAGCGGATGTTATACTTGCAGTGCAAGCTAGATCTCTAAGAACGTATTTCCTGATGGAGGATGATAATACGGTCCAGCCTAAGAATTTCATAAAGAATAAAGTGACTGGTATTTTATTTGAAAATAAGATAGATCATACCACTTATTTTTGTACTCGCATGGGTAAGTTATTTGTTTCGATGTTTATTGCACTTTCAATAATATTTTTCTGTACTAATTGATTTGTTAAATTTCGTTATTTAGAATGTATTCATGGAATTCATATGATCCCTACGACTCCGATAACACCGTATACGAGAAGAAACAAATTCGTAAGTTCAATAAAGAGCAGAATTATATTTCTAATTTTTTATTTCCGTGTTAATTATTTTAATTTTTTTTAAAAAACAGGTAACTGAAGAATGGGAAGAGGTTCTCTCGTCAATCGTCGATAATATCACCGATGCTTGGAAATCCTTGCTTCAAATGAATTACGCGCAAATAAACTCGAAATCGGTATACAATTATTTCTTGCAACATCCCGACGCACCATTAGACGACGGGTTAACAAGAACTTGGGCGCTGTTTTGGTCGGCGTCTCAAAAACCAACCAACTAATTCACTACTATATTTTTTTGTAACAAATTTTTACTTGCATTTTGTAATGTTTATAATTTTTTTTGCTTGCTCCCTTTCGAGTTTTTTTTTACCTTGATGGTAAAGTTGGTAATAATTTTTATTGTATCTATATAGAGGTATATAGAGGTATATAGAGTCTTTTTAGAATATTTTAGAGTATTCTCGGAAATACTTGCATAATACTAAATCATGTTCAAAGCGCGTTTTTAACATTTAAAGCTTAATGCCTAAAGTCTGTTAGAAAGTTATTTACCAAATTATTCGGTTACGAAATACCTACGGTGGCTATGCTCTATCAGATCAAAGTAGAAATGCTGCACCGAATGGATAATCCTATGCCGATGGACTAAATTTGTATTTTGTTATGTACCAAAATTTTATCGTTATGTATTTTGAAAATTTTAAATGCAAAGTACGTACTCAATTAAACCAATGAATTCATAGTGAGATTGAAAAATTGTACGTACACTGCATTTCATCTGTATGCAACTAATATTAATTACATGTAAATTTATCCAGCAATATCTAACAAATACGTAAAACCTTTGAATGGAACTTCTGGATAAAAAAAGACAGGTTTTTTTTTACATGGCTAAAGAGATTCTTTTTACAATAAGAACGAGGTCTTTCGCTGGTACAAGATCATACAAATAAATTCATAAAAATGATTGGATGGAAAGAAACATTTAAATATATGTATAACGATAATAATAACGATCTCTTTGTTCTATCATCGAAAATCTTTCCAACAAATTAACTCGTGATAAATAAGTTTCTCATTAACGTTAAGAAGAGAAATATCTATTTCCACCCGAGAAATTATAATAAAAAAGAGTCTGATTCTAAAGAAATAAATATATTGATTCCAAGTATTGGCCAAAGCACTACACGTGACTCCTGTTAACGAGATCGACGTACATTATGGGTAAATTTTTAACGATAAATGACATGGGAGTGTAAATAACAATATCGATAATTTGTCTTTAGTTTGAATGACATGTTTTGCTCAAACCTTATCAATTTCATTATTATCTAATAACATATCGCAAGATCCTTGAGTTTTTCAAAACAATACTATTTGTACAGCACATGAAAATTATCCTGCTGAACAATATAGCAAAAAAAATTTGAGATTCCAGAATTCACTCTCAGATAAATGAATATTTTTCATTGCCCAAATCCCTCCAAAATTATCACTGATTATGAGTTATTAGTTATTGTATTAATCTGCCAAAGTTTGAATTATAGTTAGTGCTCCAACCGGGTCGGGTCCAATCCGTGATCCGATCCGGAACGCACATTTCGGGTCGGGTCGGATTGGAGTCAAACCCGACCCGAAATAATTCGGATCAGTCTAAAAATCGTTATTTTTCGTTCAATATTAATTGGAATTAAACGAAAATTTGTGAACATATACACAATTACATTTCGAACAACTCTACTTAGACACAAAATACAAGTATCTTAGTAAAATAAAAGCTATTAACGAAAAACTAATTTACGATTTGCGGATCAAACCCGATCCGAATTCGACCCGACTCAAAATTATCGGTTCGGGTTATCTCAGATCCGATCCGAACAGAGCTTTAATTATAGTACGTATATCCGGTAAGGACTGATGGACTATTTTATGAGAAATCATTTTGAGCTATCATTTCATACTCCTCAAGCATTATTTGAAATACTAAGAGTTAATGCAACCATTGTTAAGGATCATTTTGAAAAACTTCTATAAAAATTCATTTACTGCTACACAAATATGAAATCTAAATAAAACCGATTTTGCTATTGTATGGTGTATAACATCTAAAGTCATCAAATGTTTGAATTTTATAAAATATATAAACTTCTTTACTAAGAAGTATATACAAAATTTAATCCGTGAATATGCTCAAAAAGGGCCTATTTTAGCTAAGGATGGAAATTCTCGGAAAGATCCATCATCGAAAATCTGTTGACTACACATTGGCACCGAAGCCCAAGATGAACAGCATATGAGTTTTCTTCTTGTGAACACCATTCAAGATTAAATGCTTTATTGTTGGTAGAATCCCCGTCAATATGATTCACGTATTCTTCCTCTTCTTCTTTTAGGCAAAATGCTAACGCCATCAAGCAATTTTCTCGAGTGATTCTGAGATATTCTGCATCTAGAGATCCTCGAGAGATTAGACTGTTTGGAAATTGAACCCTCCCTAGAGATGAAACTCTGAATTTTCGTGAATTAAGTTTTATTTCTCTCTGGAATCCTGTTCTATGTGATCTTTATAATACATCCAACGCCACCTTCCAGCAGTATTCACCTTTTTGCTACAACATTAATATTACTTTTCACTATCTTGGAAGTATTTGAGGCGAGAATTATAGAATCCCAAATCTGAACAACATTTTCGTCCAATGTCATTCGTCTGGAACTACGTCCAGGATTCGGGAATACTGTAATTATCAAACTTGATGCCGTTGATATGATTGATGTAGGGCTTATTTTCTGGATTAGGAATAAATGCTTGTGCGACTAAAATATGAAAGTAGTTATTAATTTTATTATTCTTGATACGTCCAAGATTGATGCCACCGGCAACTAAACTTCCATTATGATACGATCTCTTATTATTGTACAGTCGTTTCTTAATTTATGAGAGCATTGTCATATGAAATTTACTACGCCACTGTGGCATCGGATGTCATGTTCTTGCAAAACTATTAACTGCCATGCCGAGTGGCATGGCTTTGATATTCAATTGATGTCACGTGATTAATTGTGAATGGTTTTATTTTTTGAGTATCATGCGAAAAGACATTATGACATCAACATGACTATATACCAACATAGACTATATACCAACATAGCATATATATTGTGGGAAAACAGATCGTGCAACATGAATTTACATTTCACCTTTTAAAAATGATCTTTGTTTTTAAGTCCATACGCTTGGTTAAATAACTTGAACCGAGAATTCGTGGATCCTTTCAGACATCTCAATTCTTAGTTTTTGTGCAGTGCACGACACCTAGTCCCACAGTTTTATATTGTTACTTTAAAGCCTGTAACTTTTATAGAATTAAATTTCTAACCAACAACTAAACATTGAAGTAGACCATAGTATAGTCTACAATTCAATGTTTAGTTGTTGGTTAGAAATTTAATTCTACAAAAGTTATAGGCTTTAAAGTAACAATATAAAGCTGTGGGACTAGGTGTCGTGCACTGTACATAAAAAACGCTCAAACTTGTTTATCAAAACGAGTTTTGTGTAGGTACCAGCAAAGCTTTATTCAATATGGCCTCGTGGGCAAGCTGGTGACTCCATCCTTTACTCGTCCGATTCCTATAATCACAGTGTGGGATGCTATAGCCCTACTTTGGATGTACTATATAAGTTGCCTCAGAAATGTGAAATTCCAGTCCAGGTTGCATACCTTGTGAAAATTTTGGAACTCCTGGCCAAAAATATTATAATGATGGAGACGAAAATGCTGTCCCGCCCAACAATATTAAATTTCACATTTTCAACACGGAAAGAAAAGATTGAGAGGTACATGTTCGGAGCGTCGATTCGTTCTGGGGGTAGCATCAGAGAAACAAACGGCACACAACCAAGGAAAAATTCAAGAATTGCAGGCAACCTTGGGGCAATTGCTCAGGAGTGCTCTGTGTGGACAAAAAACTACTCGAAGACATCGTTCAACCTAAAAAAAATCTGACGGTTCCTCCGTGTATCAAGTGTCAACAAGTGATAAACTTGCTGAATTTTGCAATAATCCGCCATTATAGTTGAAAAGATCATGAATGAATCTGACTGTTGTCGTGTTGTAACTTCTAGATCCAAAGTGAATGTTCTCAAAAGATGTTATCCGTTATATAAAAGATGTTATTATCTGTTATATAATGGAAATTGCACTGTATGGTTTCATTGTAATGTTACTGCGGAATACTTTTTCTGGACTGCTATGGACGCGTGTTTGATTGGGACTCTATGACTAATGTATTATGGTTTCTCTGGAATTACTTTGAAAGGGCGTCAGAGAAGGTTGGCGAAGTGTCATGGGCGTATCAGAAGATAGATCTGTATTTGTGCTCAATTTTGGTACGTACACATATTTTTACCTTATAACTATTTTCTTTTCTTCCAGATTCACCAGAAGAACACGATGCTCACTCACCCTGTTGTAAAAAAAGGCAGGAAAAACAAGAACTCAAAAGAAGCGTCATTGATGCGGGTCTCTTGATCAAACGGACATATTCTCCTGGATTTTTAATTTCGATTTACATTTGTTTGCTATGATTATTTACTAGCAGGTAAAAACTTACATCATACAATGGTTACCGTATCCGAAATTAAGCACCCCCCGAAAATAAGCGTCCCTGGCCCGCATTATGACGATTTTGGCCAGAATTAAGAGGACCTTGGCCAGCGTTATGTGGAAAAAACGGTGCTTAGTTTCGGATGAATACGGTATTCGTTTCAGACATACACAGCATTTGTATCTTAGTTATATAATATGTTACATTATACATGTACTTAAAAAATAAAATGCTATCTTAACACATTCTGATTTTTATTGCGCATCAACCACGTGACGTGACAGCCCATGTAATAAAATTTAATTTATATTTCTTCGAAACTTGACAAGTCAAGCTAGTTTTAGCATCGACATATAAATGAGCCTAAAGTTTGCATTTTTGTGTAATGAATGCTTGCGTTTGATCATTTGCACTAACATGCCACCTTTTCGTTTCATCCTCAAAATGATTTAGCTAGGAAACCACTTTATCAAGATTGTATTCTGAGTAAAATAAATAATGCATTAATTATTAAGATTCGGAAATATTGGTCGGTTTTTCTTATTATAATGAAAGTGATGAAAGTTGCTAAGGTACTTCAATGCCACTTGAACCAATCAAATATCCAATACTCCAGATATCAACCATTATATCGTGTGCTCCACACATAATCGGGTCAGGTTCTATCCCATGCAAACCCTAATTGTATACATATATTTTCCATTAGTTAACGAGAATATATATCAAACTAAAAAGCAATACCTCTAGACTATACAAATCAACAAAAAAACAGTATACCAAAATGGATGGATTGAAAATAATCTTGCACATTTGTACGCTATACTATATATACTCAACTCTTGCATCGCAAAACATTTCCTCAAATAAAATATAACATCCTTGTTGCGGTTGTAACAATTTTTGTAAATATAAAACTTTGAAAGAATCTTTGGAACAACCAACTGCACAGTTTCAGCTGCCGTTTTTTTTTTGTTAGGATCTTTGATGAAGAGGGCGAAAAGGGCTGTCTGCTCCTCCAGACTTAAATAGCTGTCTGAAGGTGACGTTGTTTTTTCCGTTCTGCCAAGTTTTTAGTAACGAAAACACCGAAACATTTTTGGCATGGATCTACAGCCAATCAGAAGAGCTGGCGAATTAGAATAATCGTGCGCGTTCTTTACATTTTTCGCGTTTTTTCATCCTTTGAATCCTTTTTTAGTTTTCCTTTTTCTCAATTTGTAGCAGGTGTAGAAAATCACCTGACATTAGAAAGTTTCTATTGTGAAGGAAAATCAAATGCAGAAATAATAACTTGCATATTTAATTAGTGGTGATCCGCGGATGTAATCGGCACTGGGCAAATTTACGGTATTTTAATATTTAACATGAAAGAAAATTTTACCAGTGTGTAAAGATACCTATTAGGCATCTTTTTTTGTTACAAGCTGAAAATATTATTTTAAGTAAGAAGTACGGTTCTTTGCTAGTACTAAATTCAATTTAAGGATCGACATCATTTTTATTATAGGAACTCTTAAATAGACAATGTTTCATGTTAAAAATTTAGATCAATTATTTATTTATTTAATTATTTTGAAGTTTAAAGCTTTTTCTTTTAAATTATTAATATTGATTAATATAATCTATCAGTAAAATGATAATTGGTACATGTAATTGCAAAATAGAAACATATACAGTGCAGGAACTCTTAAATCGACAATATGTTTCATGTTAAAAATTCTTTCATCTTCTTAATTAAGAAGTAAATCAAAATTTAACCGGTAATATTATAGAAAAGCAATTTCTTGATAATATTGCCGGCTGGATTTGGATTTATTTCTTATTTAAGAAGTTGAAAGAAGAGTTCTGCACCATACAAAGATCATACAAAAAAAGGAAGCCGCTATTTTGTCTATGATCTTTGTATAAAGATCCTTTGCTTTAAAGATGACTAATTTTATTGGCGTCCTGCACTATATATGTAGCTATTTGCAATTATCATTTATCATTTTAAATTAATAAAATGAACTTGTGTTATGTTACTCAATATATATATATGAAAAAATACTTTGTTATTTTGTTTCTTCAGATGCATTTTTAGTGGCAATATCTCTACTGATTCAACAAACAAAAAGTGGTTTCAAATTTTATAGAACTCAACTGTGTTATTAATATTTCAATACTGGTTTTTTTAGGCGCTTTTCGAAGAATGAGTTACTTATAAAAGCTTGAAGATTGTATATAAAAATTAAAATAACAAAAAGCATAAATATTTGTTTCTCAATTAACATTCAATTAGAGCCAAAATTATTATAACGATAGACTGCTTTACATCTCAATCAGATTTTAATTAATCAGTCTGCTGTTAATTATTCTAATAAAAGTTATTTGCGCAACAGTGATTCACAAACGTCCATGCTGTAAATTTCCACCAATGGTTAAATTATTAAGTATTCGTAAATGTGCACAGAATTTTGAAAAAAGTTGATAATTTGAAAAGAAAACGCAAGCCATTAGTGATTAATTGGATATGGTGAACCACACAACGAATTGGAAGTATATGTCTATATTTACTAGTAACTAGAGACCTTGTTGCCATCATTGATGTTTCTCCGTTAGGTACTTTTTTCAATTACTCGTAATATTTTTTCTGAATTAAAGATCACAGTGAGGAATGGAAATGATCCCCCATGACTGATATTGTTTTCGTGGAGGTATCGGTATCATTAAATAAAAAACATAAACACTTTGGTTCAGAGGACTTAAACACACTTTGTATTAAACTAAATTGTAAAAACTTGCATAAAGTCATTTGCTATTTCAAATGAATCTACGCATAATTGAACAAATGAATCGTCGAATGAATTGCTTTGTTGGCTCCATAATATGGACCAAGTGCAATAGAAACGGTGTAGATTTCGACTTTGACGAAAAAACTCAATAGATGCAAAAAAAAATTTAATTTAATACAGGAATCAAGTTTTACTAACCAATCGCTATAGACGTGTTTTATTCAAAATTTGGAATCTGATCAACTAGCATTTACATCGTTTCTACTGCATTCAACCCATATGCTTCCCTTGGAAGCATTATGCTGCTGTGGTTACGTACCTTCATTGATACAATATGACCTTAGACATCATAGAATTTTATAAAGTCAGAGTGGTAAATTTTTTTTAACAAAATAATGGTCAGAAAATTTTTGCTAATGCATAACCAAACTGTAATCTAAATTTTTATTGCGAAAGTTATAAAAATTTCGCATACGAATTACGAGATTAAATGAGATAAACTAAAATATTGCTGTCACTACTGAGTTACTGTGCGCACAGTGAAACATCAGTTGTAACATCTGTCATTTGTCTATAGACTTCGCGGCAGCTGAGAATGGCATAGAGCTTTTTGATTTGTGCAGCATTTTTTTATGTTCATGAAAATCTCGTTTGATATATTTATTATTAGTAAGAATTTAGATACCAAACACTTAATAATAATACGTAATATGTATGCAGCTTATTGGAAAATGGAACACCTAAATTCAATTGTTCATTTTGTTTTTGATAAATGGCAAATGGTAAATGGTAATGGTAATGGTAATGGTAAATGCTGGTCAATTTCATTTGTCCTGCTCACTAGAATCAACAATTGTTCGTTAGCGATTTGACCGTTAGTGTTAGAACATGTACGAATTGCTGACTTGTATGCTTAGAATGCTGTTACACAACAACAATCACAGACTGTTGGTTTAAAACGGGTGGACAAGAAATCGAAATTAACAAATCTTGACACAAGAACCAACAAATCTATCTCATGAACAAATGGTGGAATGCATTAAATATCGATATTGATCATGAGGTTTTTCTTGTCATTCAAACAGAGGTGTGATGAAGAGATGTGTGGTGCTAATACGCAATATGAAAATTCTGAAGAAATTCCACCATCCCTTCGATTAAAATTATTGTCATCCTTAACGAGGAGGTGTAGAGATTTTGTACCGATTGATTGATCTAGGGGTGATTATTGTTCAAATTTATCTATCGTACAATTCGATAGATAGATATGTAGACTTGTTTTTGCTTAATTAGTTACATGCATGCGCATGTAACGGTATATTGTGTACTTTGGATTATTGTTATGAACATCAAATTAGTGTTTCGGGCGAATTAATGTTTCGGATTTTGTTTATCGTTATATATATAGTAATAGTTCAAAAATTCCCGAATTAACGATCTTTTAAATTTCCCAAAACATGAACAGTACATGTATGTCGTATTCAATCATATATACATGTACATGCAATCGGGTACGACATAACTACATAACTTCGTAATGTTGCATCGTTTATAAAAATTTTCGTATAATTATTTTTCGATGATAAAAGCATGTTAAAGTCATATAATAGAACGACATTTATAGTTAATTAGCAATTGGTTAATTATTATGAAATAAATATCAATAAACCGTATCGATATGCCTTTTAATGATACAAATTCATGGCCTTAGTATTTCCAAGTTTACTGAAGTGCATATAAAATTTTTTATTGCTTACAATTTAAATTATTCCATTATTCTATCCACTATATGTTAATAAAATGTTGCAGTCAAAACACGCTAATGATGAACATTGTTACGACTGAAGTTGCCAATGCAGCAAAATTCGAGACAATTTCGACAGATAAATCCTATGCAACAATGTTCTGATTTTTCTCATTAGACTGAAATTATGAATTTATTTTGCTGTTCTTGGATTTAAAATCTGAGCATAACAATAACATGGATAACTTTGATTTTGTTCGAATTTCCTAACACGCATTGTCTTGTTATCTGTTCCAAGCACGCTTCATTTAAATTTTTCATTTGCTGGTTCATTTCTATTTTTGTCTCGTCCTCATGGTAGATATGATGTAAACGCCAGTAATACATCTTATTGAGCGTTATTTTGTAAATTACAAGTTGTCAAGCTAGGCTTTACTCTTAGTGGAATGTTTTATTTGATCCGATCAGATAAAGCGTGTTCTTTCTCGATAGAACTTTTGTACGCAAGTTTTTCCGAAGCTTCTAAATCGAAAATCTTAATAGAAAAAACTAGTTTCAAGTAATTGACTCTATCTATAATATTTCATGGGACCTTGCATCTGTATATTTTCACACGAATTAAAATACAATGACATCATATTCAATAGTTGGTGAGTGTCGTGCTTTTATATTGAATGGTGTTTGTCGAAATTCTACGCATATCTTCTGTTCTCCCAAATAAGCTTTCATCATTGTTTAATCATTGTTTACACAACTAAAGAAAATTCTACTAGAAAAACTAAAAGGACATCAAGTACATATTCAAGAACAAACACAAGGTGTATGAACATTCATTTATTACATGTATATTGCACAAGCTACCTAACCTAACATCGTCATACTTCAACTAATATAAATTTTGGCTCAGCCACATGATCACGAAAAATTAACGCCTCATTGTATATCTCTGTCAATCTTAGGATAGCCGAGACAGTGTCTTTTAACATTTCTTTTTTTTAATGCTTTGAGTATTTTTTACATGATAGAACCATATTATTATTTATATATTCTTAAACAAGAATAATATGAGAAAATTGTGTATATGTGTTTAAATATTAATATTCAAGTATTTAAAGAAAAAATTACTTATAAACTGACAAAATTTTTAATAAAAAAAAAATATAATAATATTTGAACAATTTTGAAAAGAAAAACAAAAAAAATTAAATAATTGGAATTTACTAGATAATATTCTTAAATTTATTTTTAAATAATATTTGAAATTTATAAGAATAATAATACACATAATAAAAGTTTTTATTAAAAATTTTTGTTTTCTTAGTCTTTAATAACTTAAATTTTAACATTTATAATAACATTTATAATTATATTTTTATAATAACTACAAATTACCAAGCACATATAAAAATTATATGTATACTATTAGATTTTTTTTAATTTGTTACATATTATTTTATTTTAAATATTAAATATTAAATACAAGAATTAAGAAAATACATTTTATTTATTTGTAATATATAATATTATATTATATTATATTTTATTTTATTTTTAGTTATTTTTTAATCAATTTTATATTTTTGTTGTAATAGTTTCTTTCTAGATTTGCTTTTGATTGATGATTTTTGTATTTTTTAATATTTTATTTTTTTTGGTTTAAAAAAAACTATACTACACAGTATTCATTATTTGATAAATATAACACGCATATAAGAAAGAAATCTCTATTAATGAAGTATTTATATTATTTTCACCATTGCATCCTCAGATTATTTAGTCATAATCATTATGAAATTAAAACTTTATCAAAATTATATTCTGATTAAAATAAATAATGCATAAATTAATTAAAAATCAGCTACCTTCTTTAAAAAAAATCTTTAGTATTAGGTCAGTTTTTCTTATTGTTATTACACAACTGGTGAAACCAAAGTTGATTGCACTATATTTGGCTTATGCATAATCGGGTTAGGTTTTATTATGTAAATCCTAATTGCATACATATCGATATATTTCCATTAGTTAACAATTATATATCAAACTAAAAAGCAATACCTCTAGACAAGTTAATATACAAATCAACGCTCTCAGTAATTCGTTAAGATCTGCTTATTACCATAGCCAATTTTAAATTCATTGACTGAATTCTATGCGATAAGAAATTTAGATCAAACTCTAGTCTCTTATTATTAATGACTTCTCTGGTAATATAGAATATAAAAGATGACAATAGTATTCTGGGCATAATTCTAAATTTTGAATTTGTCAGTCATTTTCCGCACTCTCTTAATACAAATGTTTCTTATTAACAGGATGTTCTGATCACTCTAATACACAATACAGTCGCACCTCGATATAGCCACGGGATTGGAAACAAAATTGGGTGTGATTAAGGTGATAGTAACTATAGAGAGGTTAATAATAAATTGGCAAATAAAAAACTTTGTTTACCTGTCGGAAGTATGTCAACGGCGGCATCCCATTAGTATACTTTCCGAATACTTGGAGTGACTTGTTGATAATAGCATCCCAAAATATATGAAATGACTTTTCTCCTTGGAGGAGGATAAAGCAGGCTTGATATTAATTCGGTATAAAACCTAGAACAACTCTCCTTTTTACTTTCTCTAAAATATATATCACGCTCTGTTTATCTATACTGAATTCTCCAACAATTGGAACTAAAGAGAAAAGTTCACTAGAAAGAGGGATTGTCACATGAGGGTATTCATTGTGAAAACATTTACGTTGAGCTCGTTCGGGGATTTTGTAATAATTCTAACTGTGTAATCTATCTAAACGAACAAATTACTCAAATGGATGGATGGATGGATGGATGGATGGATGGATATAAGTGGACAAAACGGATGAATGGTTGGATAAACAGGATGGGAAACGATGGCGTTTAACAATTTACATGCACTTTGTCGCGTATATCGAGAAGTCTTTTGTGAAACAAAGCTGGTATGACCGTACATGGTTACACGATATAAAAAGATTATAGAAAAGAATTATGGAATGGAACTATAGAAAAGACACTATCATTATAAAAATGCATCGTTATAGCTTTTGCTATAAATTTAAGGTTTGTTCGCAAAGAACACCGATGAAAAATTTCCTTTCGTCATATACCGATACCAAATAAAATGATATATTTTATCCGTTTGAATACGGACACATAATATGATTATCGCTATAAAAGAAGCTGTCATTCAAATTTTCGGAGGCGTGAAAAATCCATTTTTATCGTACCATAATGATTTTTATCAAAAGTATTTGAGTCTTTGAATCAATCTCATAATAATACGTACGAACCATTTGCATGTATTGCTGTCGCAATACAAGACTCATAATGCGGGCCAGCAAGCCATCATTTCCTTATCAAGCAGCTCTAAAAAACTCCGTAACATACAATATAAGCTAAATGTAAATACATTTACATTTAGCTTCGGACATAAACAATTTACTTGTAATATTATTTATTATGCGTGTAACATCCGTTATAGGACGATGTGCTCGTCATTTCTTTCATCATTATTCGATCATTGTATAAATCAGTAGAACAGTAGAACAATCATATAAAATAGTTTTTACTTTTTGCTGTTGCTCTTCAATCTTTCGAGCAACTTGATTTTTTACTATACAAAACGTGCGTGTTTGTTATTTAATGTTTTTTTTGTTATTGTTATGAACTTTTTTTACAAAACGCGTCAAATTTAGACGTTTAAACTTCAAAGAAATGATATTAATAAAAACTCTTCTATTTAGCTGTAAAAAGCTTCCCGGATTAAAAATATTTACCGGGAATTTGTCAATCACTGATACATAATATAATAAATGGCAAGTGAAAATAGTGAAAATAAAAACACTTTCACTAATTTACCAACATCAAAATCCACCTCTTCTTTGACTCAAGATTTAGCCACAGTAACAACAACCAACACCTCTTCTTCGACTCGAGATTCAACCACCTCCAATTACAGTTCTTTAGAGAATACTCCTTTAAGCAAAAAACAACCACCCAGGCCCGTTCCAAATATAAAGGTTGATACTAGTGAATCAATAATTGATCAGGAAATTAACAGTGGAACTTCGCCTACTCTTTTATCCGTAAAGCTTGCAAACTCATCACAACCTAGTCCTTCTTCGACAACTTCAACCAAGCAGGGAGAAGAACTAGAAGATACTAAGAAGACAAATATGCAAAGGCAATTAGCCGAAAAACCTGATCATAATGACACAATAATAAGAGAAGAACGAGAAGAGAAAACAGAAGTTTATGTTGAAAATCCTTTTTCGTTCAATCCAAAAATTCTCAGTCGATTGATTGATCCAAAAAATATAATTTTATTGAAAAAACTTGGTGGTATCAAAGGTTTATTAAAAGGTTTACATACTGATCCTGACTTTGGTCTAAGCAATGATGAAAAAGCCCCGCTACCACCTAGAAAAATTGATAACATTTCAAGTAGAGACGATGTCGGTGACGATGATCTATTGAATTTTGAGAATAAACCAAAAGATGATATTGAAGATGCAGCCAAAAAACCTAAAAAGAAAAGGCAATCAAAAAAAGCGAAAAAGGCAGCGTTAGCTAATGCTGAATTAACAAAGGACGGGGCTCCATTTTCGCAGCGAAAACGTGTTTTTGGTGTTAATGTATTACCAACGAAAAAGACTAAAAATATATTTGAATTAATGTGGATTGCAATGCAAGATAAAATACTGGTAAGTAAAAAGAATATGCTTTATAAGAACACGCTTTATAAGAACATCATATAAAACCTCTAATCTTTATCCCTATATATAATTAGATAATCTTAACTTTTGCCGCATTCCTATCATTAGGGCTAGGGCTATACGAAGACTTTGGTCCCAATTCAAACAAGAAAGCTGATGAACCGAAAATAAAATGGGTGGAAGGCGTTGCTATTATAATTGCTATCTTGATAGTAGTAATGGTTGGCAGTATAAATGACTGGCAAAAAGAAAAACAATTTCAACGCTTAAATGCAAAAAAAGAAGATCGTAATCTCAAAGTGACACGTGATGGAAAGGAAGCCCTTATCTCGGTACATGATGTTTTAGTTGGTGATATTTTACATATAGAACCAGGTGATATTATTGCAGTAGATGGGGTCCTTATATCTGGTCATAATTTGCGTTGCGATGAATCAGCTGCGACGGGCGAAAGTGACGCAGTAAGAAAATCGAGATATGAAGAATGTCTAAATTTATCTGATCAAGAATCTACAAGTGATGCAGCACATCACTCGAAAGCCGATCCTTTTCTAATAAGTGGTAGTAAAGTGTTGGAAGGAGTTGGAACATATGTCGTAACTGCTGTCGGAGAAAATTCATTCTATGGACGAATCTTAATGGGTATTCTTTTTTTTTTTTTTTGCTTTTGATGAATTATTTTTATATGCTTGTATTAATTTAATTTATTTTAAAGCTCTAAGAACTGATGCGGGCGATACACCACTTCAAGAAAAATTAAATGGTTTAGCAGAAAGAATTGCAAAATTGGGAGGCGCTGCTGCTTTACTGATGCTTATAGTGTTATTAATCAAATACTTTGTGAATTTCCGAAATGGTGTACCACCAGCAACTAAAGCTGTCGAGGATTTAGTTAGAATTATTATTTCAACAGTGACTGTGGTAGTCGTGGCAGTACCCGAAGGCTTGCCTTTGGCAGTAACTCTAGGTATGCATTTTTTTTTTACTATTTAGCTCACATGTATAATCTTCAAATTGATTAACTATTATGTATTATTAGCTCTCGCATATGCTACAACGCGTATGTTGAAGGATAACAATCTTGTGCGCGTTCTATCTGCATGTGAAACGATGGGAAATGCAAACACCATTTGTTCCGACAAAACAGGAACACTTACACAAAATAAGATGTCAGTTGTCGCCGGTACTATTGGAATTTCGACTGCGTTCGTCAGAGATTACGAAGCATATCAAGAAAACTCTAAACGATTCTCACAGAAAAGTGTCACTGAAAATATCAATAATCCCATTCCAATGACTGATCTAATAGGAACACTTTCGCCTGGCTTAATCAATATATTAAAGCAATCAATTGCAATCAATTCAACTGCTTTTGAAAGTATGGGTGATGATGGTAAACTAACATTTATTGGATCAAAAACCGAGACAGCTTTATTGAGTTTTCTTATAGATTTGGGTCTAAATGACTATAAAGAATTAAGAAGTGACGCTACGATAATGCAAGTCTTTCCGTTCAGTTCAGATCGAAAATCGATGGGTGTAGTTGTTAAGATATCAGATTCAAAATATAGATTTTATGTGAAAGGAGCTAGCGAAGTATTAGTCAGAAAAGCAGAATCCATAATAGTTGCGGATCCCACAAATAACACAGAATTATCGACTATGAAATTATTACCTGAACATTTAAATATTATTCAACGTGTGATTGTAAAATATGCAAGTCAAACATTAAGAACAATAGCATTAGGCTATCAGGAGTTTGAAGAATGGCCTCCAAGAGGAATGAAGGCTAATGAAGAAGGTGTGTCTTTTGAAGAATTAGTAGATAAAATTATACTTTTGGCAATTGTTGGTATTGAAGATCCGCTCAGAGATGGTGTTCGTGAGTCTGTTCAGAAATGTCAAAAAGCTGGAGTGTCGATAGTAATGGTCACAGGTGACAATGTTCTAACGGCTAAATCGATTGCAACGCAATGTGGCATATATAATCCAGGAGATACAGTAATGGAAGGACCACAATTTCGTAATTTACCACCACAAGAAATGGACAAAAGGATTCCAAGGCTTACAGTGCTTGCCAGATCAAGTCCTGAGGATAAAAGAATTCTCGTCGCAAAGCTAAAAGAACTCGGTCGTATTGTAGCAGTAACTGGGGATGGTACTAATGATGGCCCTGCATTAAAAACTGCAGATGTAGGATTCTCGATGGGTATTGCCGGTACAGAAGTCGCCAAAGAAGCTTCCTCAATTATTTTAATGGATGATAATTTCTCGAGTATTGTGAAGGCTATTATGTGGGGCAGAAGTGTAAATGATTCGGTGAAAAAGTTTTTGCAATTTCAATTGACGGTAAACGTCACCGCAGTTCTCTTGACTTTTATTTCGGCTGTTTCGAGCGGAGAGGAAAGTTCAGTACTATCGGCGGTGCAACTCTTATGGGTAAATCTTATTATGGACACTTTAGCTGCTTTAGCACTTGCCACTGATCCACCAACAGAAGAACTATTAAATCGTGATCCAGAACCTCGTAATGCTCCGTTGATATCCCATGACATGTGGAAAATGATCATTGGTCAAAGCGTTTTCCAATTAGTGATCACCCTAATCTTATTATATGCTGGAAATGACATTTTGAATTATGATACTGATGAGGAACAGGAGGGAATGAAAACTTTGATCTTTAATACATTTGTATACTTGCAAATATTTAATGAAATCAAGTAAGTTAACTTTTAACGTGTTTATATAATAGTATACAAAGTTAATCTTGAAATAACCTAATGAATTTATTTCTATTTTTCTAGTTGTCGCCGGCTTGATAATAAGTTGAATATATTTAAAAATATTTTCGCCAACAGATTTTTCATGGTAATTTTCGTAATCATATGTGTTGGACAAATTCTAATAGTGCAATTGGGTGGTGCTGCTTTCCAAGTAAATCCATTGGATGGAATTCAATGGGCAATCTCTATTGGTCTTGGTTTTCTATCAATACCCGTTGGTATAATTATTCGGTTAATACCCGTTCCGTCATTTAGCTCTAAACAACAACAACAACTTCAAGCTTCAAACTCGACATATGCCTCATCTGTCGGAAGAACGACACAGACCGGTGAACCTTCATGGAACAAAGCAATCACAGACGTACAAAACGAATTAATGTTCTTTAAATCATTACGTGGTGGTCGTCTTCGAGCATCGTTGCATTTCGACAAACGAGATAAAAATGAGTCACATTCTGTATTTGCCGCAGCAACTATAGTACCTAGTATAATTGCCGGTTCAGTAGGTGGTAGATGGACAACCGCGAATCGTATATCTAGACCAGCAAGTAATAACCCAAGCGCTAGTCAACTAGACTTAAGTTCTACATGGTTTCCGTCCACATCAACGGAGGGAGCAGGAATTCAAAATGGAATGAATGAAAGCACACAATTACCTATAAATTCTGAGCCACGTCGAATAGAAGGGTGATAATGAACGATGATGATGCAGAATACAGTATCCTCCCATTACAATGAAACTTCACCATATCATAGCTAAAACAAATTAACAGATTCAAAAGACCATTAATTACCTAAGATAAATGAATTCCGGTATACCGCTAGGACAATGTCCTTTCTGTATCTTTCCCACAGGATCAATAATGTAGTGCATATATTGTACATAAAAGCTGCAAAACAAACATTTGGACGATGAATATATTTGTTTTTAATCAGATTGGGCTTTTTGCGATTAATGTGTAGCATAGTTAATATTTTGTGTTTATAACCAAAATTCTTTTTTCAAAATTCTTTTTTATAATATTTGTGTTTTCTAAAAATAGACACTTAAAATTTCTGCATAAATTTACTACTTAATATCTGAGTAAAATAAAAAAGATTAGTTTATAATCTATAAATATTGTTACCATTCTTATATTGATAGGCAAGATATTAACTAATTATAATAATTAATTAAGAATTATATAAGAGTGATAATAGTGACTGTGTGTACT